TTGCTTAGTTTTTTCCAATTTAATCTTTGGTTGAACCTTAACTGGGATGAAAACCAACAGATAAAACTTTTCATAAATTTGACAAATAAAAATTGTTACACATGATTCAAACAGCTTATTCTCAGTGCTTTTATACTTTTTATATCTATTGTAACTAAGGAGTATTTAATTGGCTGAAAATATATTCTAAGTGTAAATGCTACAATTCTATAACCCACTGATATGAAATATAAATAATGACATTGAAATATTTTCATCTTAGGGCCAGTTGCACAGCACCTGCCTGGCAAATACGAGGTAGTGAGTTTAACTCCTGGTACCCACCAAAAAAAAAAAAAAAAAAAAAAAAAATCTTGGGTTATTCTAAAATGAGGAGTCAAAGTGAACATACGGGGTATACTTTCGGTGTACTTAATCTTATCCTTTATTATTTTCTGCCATCGCTATCAGTTTTCTTTTTGTCTATTGACAACTCAATTCACATCCTTTAAACTAGGCTAACTCTGAAAATAAACTTAAAATTACGTATTAGACAGTGACAATCAGAAATGAATACTATTTAATGAAGTAATTATGTTATGCTTTAAATAACAATTCCTTAGATTCACTTAAAATATTTATAAACAGCAACAATAATGACAAAAAACCTCATGCTACTTAAATACACAACTAGTAATCCCTAAACTATCTTTACTAACTTTAGAATCTAAAAAATTAAAGGCTATGGGCAGCTCAAATCTTTGAGGAAGCAAAAGCATGTGAGAAGCAAAAGGATGTTAATGGAACTGCTTGCCCACTAGGGTGGGGATCAGCTCTCCTGGACCAGAAGAGCTCAATCCCTGTATCCATCACTGGAAGGACAGAAACAATGGGATGAGCTGGGACACCAAGCTTTGGATATTTCAAACAGAAACAAAGTCACAGAACAGTCCCCTAAACCTATGTATTAATATTTGGCAGACATTCAAGGTCATAAGAGACATCTAGTTACCATATTTCACAGGTTCTTTTCAGATGAGTTCTGTTTGTTGAAGCATGTTTGCTGGTAATATATTAACTAGTGTGTTAACAGTTCAAAGGAGACTAGACACTTCTCAAATGCAAAGATTTCTCAAAATATATTTAGACTTCTCTTTTGGAACTGCATTTATTATATCTTCTAAATATTTTCTTTGACAGCAAACCATCACCAGTTCTGACTGCACAGTTTTTGGAAGCAATGTTTTATTGAAGTGGATGTTATAATAATCAGATCAGATTGCTACTAGTTTTTTAAGATAGCTGACCTTCGCTGGTGCCAAAAAAGATGTATATGTGGTACTTAAGAAGCCACAGTACTGCTAAGGCCTAGAACCTGCTAAACAGTAAACTGAGCAGAAAAGGAAGATTTGACAGAATTTAACAATTCATATGCAATTCAGTATAGCTTTGCTACGCTATGGAAGACGATTCATTTTTCCCTTACATTATGGTATAATATTCATAACTGGTAATCTGGAATGTGGAACTTATGCATACACTGAATTATGAAAGCTAAAATGTGATGGTAACTGAGTCATTGAGGACTGGAAACTTAAAAACCCAGAACTTAAAAACAGGAAAAGAATTTGCAAAACTTATTCAGATATACTTTTCTTTATAAAAATGAAAATAGAATAGAAAGAAGCATTTCAGAAAGGGAATTTTACAGGTAACTCTAATCCTTGTTAAACTTACAAAAAATATGCTTTATTCAGGAAATGGAGTATATTTTAAGAAATCAGCTGGATGCACCAGTAGTGTAATGGATCGGGTGCCTGACTATGAATCAGAAGAAATAAGATACTGGGTATGGTAGCCCATGTCTGTAATTCCCACTCCAGTTGGCTGAGGCAGGAGGACTGCAAGTTCTGCAAGTTCAAGTGCAGCCAGGGCAACTTAGTAAATTAGCAAGACCCTAACTCAAAATAGAAAAGGGCCAGGGCTACAGTTCAGTGCGAAGACCCTGGGTTCAATTCCGAGTACTCCAACAAAACAAGCTTCCCCCACATCCCTGCATGACACCCAATGTTTTAAAATCTAAGGATTAAATTTTAAGATATTTTTGTTGTGCATGTTGGAAAAAAAAATCAATGAGGAGTGTACTTCTTGGAATAGCTAACATTACTCGTACTACAAATCTATTTTCAGAAGGACTTGAAATTCAGAAGTGACAGAATTTGTATTATGTTGGCCTAAATCCCAGGGAGAATACTTTGTATCTTAATGAAAATAAATCTCTGAACACTCAAGAATTTTTCTTTAAATACATCTGCACAAGTTTATTTTCTTTCATTTTGAATTTTTCTAAAATAAAACTGT